CCCAGTATGCTAGTAGTTTTGTTGTATGGAAGTGAAACATGGAATACCACGCTTGCTGGAAAAAGAAAATTTTAACGGTGACATAGCGAGATGTGGGATGACGCGTTTTATTTAGCAAGAGGTCTAGCAGATCTTCAGTGAATTACTGCAGTTCGGTCTAGTATAAGTAGTATTACCAAGGCAGTGTACATCAGGAAGAGGAGTGGAGCTGATCATGTGGCAAGGATGAGAGACAACAGATGGACAAAGTGGTCGATCCCATGGCAGTGTTTAAATAATGCGGAGAAGATAAGCAATGGACTGAAAATATGCTTGAATGCCTGTGTAGCATTCTTTGGGCGTGAGGGGCTCAGAATTGTTAAGGATAGGGAAATTCCAATTTGGTTATTAAATTAGCAGGACATTTGTTGTCCGTCTGGGAAATCGTATACCTAAATCGAGTTGTTTTTAAATCAACTTGTTTGCCAGGCCTTAATTCGGTGGTCACTTCGGTTTTGCGCAGAAGCTCATACTTTCTTTTCGGACGTTTTACAGGTTATGGCGGAGCAACGTTTAAAGGATACGGCACGGAAATACGTGGAGCAACTGAGTAACTCGAAGTCCAAACAACAGAAACTTATGGCGCAGCTGCTCTCTTCGGCTGTACTCAGTGCACCCGGTGAGATTTTTGCACTGATTGGAGGACGCATCCGTAGTCTCACGGTACTTCTCTGCGGATGCAGCTCGCAACCAACATTAAGAGCCTAGAACACCTGAAAATCTTTAGTTCTCCAGTTGGGAACTTTTACCCAGTTGCATTTACCAATGCTGATTGTCTGCTGTTCGACCTGATGGAGATCCGGACTTCAGAAGGAATCAAAAACTTAACGATTCTCTGAGCAGAAGCATTTTGCAGTCGTTTCAGGGTGTCCTTGATGTATGTTGAGCCTCATCACTTTTCCCGATCGCTCTTGCTTCTAGATCTCTCTAGGATTATTTATCAAGGAATTGGGGTTGAAAGCTTGCACAGAACTATGAAACGTTGTTTTCTATCAGATTGGAAAACAAACTTGCTCCACGTAAAGTTTATTTGAAATTGGATATTTTTCCGACCAATTTATCCCCGGTTACAAATTTCTT